ATCCTGTGAACATGGGATCCTGTGAACATTGTAAATGCATAACAATTGCCAAGCACTCAAATCACAATTACATGCCATGATTTTTTTCAGTGTCCTCTATAACTTCAAATTGTCACAAATGATCATAGGTCATACCTGTAGAGTGTAGTTTTCTGCTTACTGGTCTGGTGTTAATCCCTTCTTATCTGAGCGTTGGCTGCTGGAGAGGATGTGTTCTGGTCTTTTTTTTCTTAGCTATTTTTTATTGGGTTTTTGGAATGGTATGTAAATGTGATTTATGTTATGTGTCTGTAAATGGCTGGTTTATCTGAGTGCCAAGCTTCCAGGAATTCCATAACTGGTTTTGGATTTATCTTGGTCTAGATCAGGGGTCTTCAAACTTGGCCCTTTTATGACTTGTAGACTTCAACTCCCAGTATTCCTCAGCCAGGCACGCTGGCTGAGGAATTCTGGGAGTTGAAGTCTACAAGTCATAAAAGGGCCAAGTTTGAAGACCCCTGGTCTAGATGCTCACAGTTTCCTAATTGAACCTATGGTTGAATTTGGGCATGTGTTGTGAGAGTAAGGAGTTTTCTTTGTGTCTCTTGACTTCTAATTGGTATTCGTGGATGTGTTCAGCTAGTCTTCTGCCTGTCTGTCCTACATAGTAGCTTGTACAGTTGTTACACTGTATGTTGTAGCTGATTCTTATTTTTTTTTTCTTCCTGGTAAATTGTATATTTTAGTTTACTTAAGATGTTTTGGAAGGGTTTATTTGGTTTGTGTGCTATGGTGATGCTGTGTAACTGTAATGTTAATTGTTTTTTGAGATGTTTTGATGTATAGAAGTGTTATATTTTTCATAGCTTATGTTAATTGTGCTATATGGTTGAGTGGTCAGCACTTTTTATCAAAACCACTACAATACAAGCAAGTGTTCGAATCACTACAGCACAACCAAACATCAAATTCAGATGTAAGGACCTTTCTTAATCTTGCTGTCAGACAGTAACTTAGAAGTACGAAGACATTCAAAACATGTGGGCTACCAAGGAGCCATGGCTGATTCACACTGTCTATCATATGAATGTAATAATATATTCAATGAACACAGTCTGAAGTATTGAAACACATTTTTTATACTGCATTAGGTGCACTTGAAATAAATGTTCTGCCCTCTAGTGGTTATTTCACAAACATATTTGAGTTTAAGATGAAAGGAAAGTTAAAATGAAGAGAAACTTTATTATTAGTTTTACTGTAATTCATCACCCACCCACTCTTCAAATTGGGTCAAAACAATTAAAAATAGATGTAAACCAATATATAAAAGATACAATTAGTTATTATATAGTGTATAAAATTATAATTCAATAGCTTAAATTTAAGCAGGCTGCTCTTAGATTTAGTCTTATATCTCTAGTCTAAATAAAAATAACTTGAACTTTTCCCAAATGATGGTTAAACCTGACACAGATAAACATATTCATTGGATATTAGTACAATTAGCACTAGTAAAGTATCTGTCTCTGAGGTAGTTTAGAAAGATCCTTTCAAATAGGCAGGGCTTTTTTTCTCGGAGAAAAGGTGGCGGAACTCAAACCTGGCCACGCCCTCATCAAACCCTAGGACCGCCCCTTTAGAGAACAGGAATGCAAGTAAAATTTGGGAGGGGCTATTTCCGGTGCGGCCGGCCCGGAAAAAGGTGCCGGAACGCGGTTCCGCCGCGTTCCGGCTGAAAAAAAGCCCTGCAAATAGGACATAACTAACTAACTAAACTAACTAAAATTGTGCTTACACCATCAACAATGATCAATCCAAGCCTTATTTTTCCATCTGATCTACTCCCCATCTTGTACAATAAAAGAAACCACACATGCACAGCAGAATATAGTTAACTAAACTATCGTTTTAGGTCTTTTTAAGGACTAGACTAGAGCACACCTTGGCTGATAGGCATATTTAAAAATTGGAACTATGTTGTGCATGTCATAGAGGGATTTTGTGAGTTTAGAACAGGGGTGTCAAACTGCCGGCCTGCGGGCCGAACGCGTCATCTGGAAGCCACGCCCACCCCATTACCGTCCCGATCGAGTTTGACATGTCTGGCTTAGAACATGGCTGCAAAAGTGGGACTTGCCAATCATTAACATATAGGCCATAAGACGAACTAGTGAGGATTCTCTGCACCACTCCTCCTACCAGGGGTCTTCAAACTTGGCCCTTTTATGACTTGTGGACTTCAATTCCCAGAATTCCTCAGCCAGCAACGATGGCTGAGGAATTCTGGGAGTTAAAGTACACAAGTCATAAAAGGGCCAGGTTTGAAGACCCCTGTCCTAACCCCTTAAGGTGTCCCCTGTCATTTTTCTCTATCCTTTTCCTTTTTTCTGGCAAATGATCTTCAGTCCCCACTATTATTATTTTCAAGGAATTTATGGGAGACGTACACTGCAGGCCATCTTGAAAACAACACTGGTGATGCTTAATGCTTACTTTACAAAAGGCAAGTGTCCAGAATGCCAATATTGCCAATATGGCTGCTTGAATTGTGGCCCAGGTGAAGAATGGTAGGGTGTCGCAGCCTCATTGTCACCTTTTGAGAACCTCCCTTGTTGTAAGCCAAGGAAGTCTCACGGTACTGTGCTATTTGCAAAAGTATATGTGGAATTGAGTCAGAAGATGAAGGAGAAGATATACTCAGGTTTTGATTTCACTACTGGGAGAAGTGAGTGAATGAGAGACAGAGAACAGGGAAATGTGTGCTTTTAGATGTTGTTTCTTTCGTTTTTGAGGTAAAGGAGAATACGGTGGCCAGAGGAGGAGTCAAGCCACACATTTATTCTTTGCTGTGATTAGGATAGCCGCAATCACACTGGGGCACTGTCCTCCATTACATCAGACGCGCCTGCCGTTAATTACAAGTTACCTTCCTGAATTTGCTGCAGTAAGAAGCATATATTTAACAAACCAAAATGCAATACAAGAAGCTGGTGTGGTCCTTGTGGTTGTGTTAGGGCTAGTTTCAGAGCACTGCAACATTCAGGCTGTTTTTTTATACAAACCATCTGAGGGAAGAGACGCTGTTAATACCTCCAAGTTTAAAAAAGGATCCTCTCTTATTGAAACAACAGGTTGGAAAGGGCTAGAAATGTAATATAATTATGGGTGCTGTTGGTCTGAGCATTCATCAAAATAGAGGGAAATAACATTTAATCTGTTTCTGCTTCTGAATATACAACTCTAGCAGATCATCCCAACTTGGTGTCCACCACAGGCATTCAAAATAAAACTTCCAGAATTTTAAGAATTTCTCCCTGACTAGTTAAGTCCATGCTTAATTTTGAATTGCTCAAACTACATAGTGCAATTTCTATTGGTGTGTCAAATAAAACGTTTAATCCGAAATTAACTTTGGAAGGTAACTGGCTCGGGACAATGCAGAAGGGACAAATCAGCTGCACTTCCCATGTAATACAGGGCAAGTGGTTCTTCCCTCTTGTCCTTGCTCTTGGGATTTCCCCTTTTCTCCTAAGACCAAGGTCCCATCTTACTTAACTACCATTCTGCCATTTTTGTCTGCTCTAAATATGGCTTTGCCAGTGGCTGCTTTTCAAGGTAATTCAAGGATAAAAAGCACAGCAGAGGATGGAAGTTGTTTTAGCATTCCATCATTGGCCAACATGGAAGTACATTGGATGACTTCAATAGAAAAATGTGAAGATACTCCAGGCAACCACAGAAAAACAATGTTTATGGAGATTCTCAGTCATACAGGTCATAGTTGTCCCAAAGGTGCTTTTTCAGGAGGCAACTGGACTTTCTTGTTTTTCTTTGAAGACACTTCACTTCTCATCCAAGAAGCTTCTTCGGCTCTGATTGGATGGTGGGGAATATAAATCCTTCCCTTACCCACCAACCAGTCAGAGCTGAAGAAGCTTCTTGGTTAAGAAGCGAAACGTCTTTAAAGAAAAATAAGAAAGTCCAGTTGCCTCCTGAAAAAGCACCTTTGGGACAGAAAAACAATGTTGAGAACTGAGATGTACTTGGGAGTCATGTGAAAGGGGCCTTATGTATACTTAGTTTACTAAGTATTCTGAAGGTCTGAATTCAGTTTCTGAGTCGACATGGATATTTATCAAAATATTCTTGAGAAAGGTATGTCACTTCTGGATCGATCCTGGTTTGTTCTATCTTTAATATTGTTAAATATAACAAGTTCAGTTAGGAGATCTAATGCAAATGCTAGTGAAAAAAAAGATTTGTAAGTAAAGTTTTCAAAGGCATCAGCTGTGACAGTTTTACCTCAAACTCTTAATTATTTCTAAAATATGTTAGTTAAGTTCAGTAGTTATGGATATAGAATACAGGAATTGGAATATGCTGTCTTGTAGAGTGGTTAAAGTCTTGGACTAAGATTGAGGAGAGATTGATTTCAATTGACAGCAAAGAAATCTTGATGAGTGATTTTGGGCCAGGCACTCTTTCTCAGCCAACCTACCTCACAGGATTGTAGCTCGGAATAGAAGATGGAGTGAGAGCCCCACATAAGACACCTTGAAGTTCTGAAGGAAAGCAAGGATGTATTAAAAATGTATTTTTTTTCTAATACTACATAGTACCAGTGTAGAGCAGCATATGGTTATAAGAAGACTAAAAAAATTATCAATAAATAAATATTTCTGGCTTTGCTAACCACATGAATGCTGTGCTTAAATATTTGTTTAGTTAGATGCAGAATAAAATCTCAAAAAGCTAAAAATGAAAAAAAAAGTTGCTGATAGCTATTTGAATATATTACTTTTATTATATTTATTGTCTTTATAGCTCCATCCAGTCACCCTGACTCTACCCGAAATAGGGACTACCAGGTCGTAAAGTGGGAGTTTTTGTCTTTATAGGGCCATATTTAATATTACTAGTGACATAAATTTACAAGGTGTCTAGAAGCTTTTGTAAATTTATGGTAATTAAAATAATATTTCACACTTTTTTTTTTCAAAACAGAAACAAAGCACACGATGGCTTTAGTTTTGCTCATTTCGACTCTTGCCTTCAGCCTCACAAATGGAATAAACCTACAAGATTTTAGCTGGCAGTTAAAAAAAATACCACAGATTGTGAAGGAAAAGACTTTCTTTCTCGACACTCCTAAATTTGAAGCCAGTGCCAAATTAGAACTGAGCGGCGTATGTGGGATTGAATGCCAAAGGACACTACCAGTGCCACGTTGGTCTGATCTGAAGGAGCTGCTTTCCTATGAGACAGTCTTTGAGAATGGGACGAGGACCTTGACAGAAGTGGAGGTTCTGGGGGTGGAGCCCGACGCAGTTGTAAACGTTACTAGCGAGATGCCAACAAGAAGGAAGAGACAGGTCTATGGCACAGACAGCAGATTCAGCATTTCAGACACTCGATTTCTGACCAACTTTCCTTTTAACACAGCGGTAAAGATCTCCACGGGCTGCAGTGGCATCCTTATTTCTCCAAAGCATGTACTCACTGCTGCCCATTGTGTGCACGACGGTAAAGATTACATTAAAGGCGGCAAGAAACTGAGAGTGGGGCTGTTGAAACTGAAATCCAAAGGCAGTGGCAAGAGACGCAGGGGAGCCAAGAGGAGTAAGAGGGAGGTGCCAGAAGTCAAAGATGATGCGGCCGACTCCAAACTCCAGAAGAGGGGATCTGGCAGCAGAGCTGGCAGAAAACAAAAGACATCTGGGTTGAACGAGAGGAAGTCAGAGCGCAAGCCCTCCTTCCAGTGGACCAGAGTTAAAAGTACTCAGATCCCCAAAGGCTGGACAACAGACGTGACAAGGGATGTTGCAGTCGATTATGACTATGCAGTTTTGGAGCTCAGGCGTCCCCACAAGAAGAAATACATGGAACTTGGCATCAGCCCGAATAGCAAGATGATTCCTGGAAATATGATCCACTTTTCTGGATATGATGCAGACCGAGCTGGCCAACTGGTTTATCGCTTTTGCAGCATATCTGATGAATCCAATGATCTCTTCTACCAGTATTGTGATGCTGAGCCTGGCTCTACTGGTTCAGGAATCTACCTCCGCCTTAAAGAACCAAACAAGAAGAAATGGAAACGCAAAATTATTGCCATTTATTCTGGCCACCAGTGGGTGGACGTTAATGGAGAACAACAGGATTACAATGTTGCAGTTCGAATTACACCCCTCAAATATGCTCAGATTTGCCTCTGGTTAGGGAACAATGACACTTGTGCACAGGGCTAACAATAATAATCATCTAATATCTAGTAGTGTTGGGCAATGGAAGTCATACATTGAATTTGAACTTGACATCAGAAATTATATATTTTTTTGTATTGATTCAGCATTTATGAGAATTTTTCTGCTAGGTTAATTAAGTTAACCATAAACATGAGGTGCACTTAAATCCCAGGTTGTGTATGTATGTATGTATGTATATGTCTCTGTGTGTGTACACACAAACACACATATAGGTAAGTTTAAATCATTCATACTAAAGAACAAATATTCTTGGCTCTTTCAGTTTGTTACTCAATTAACACTTTAAAGAAAAGATTCTTTGGTAACTGGTATTATTAAAACATTTATTATTTTATTTCCAACATATTAACTTATCTCAGGGTTCTGCTCAAATAAGCATCATGTATTCATTATTGAAACATAGAGTAAGACAAGAGACAGAAAAAAAATGATCTTTGGTGGTCCTACCAAATTAATGTTTAAGTATTTCTAAAATTTGGGAAACCCATTTTCTTGAATTCTAAACCAATAAAATGAAGCTTAATCAAAGTAGCATGTTCCCAATTTGAAGAAACGAGAAAGAACCATATTATTTAAATACTTTTAAATCATATTTAGAAAATGAACAAAACTGGGAGTATTAAAATTTATTTGTTTTATTCAGTCACTACTTTGAACAAATCCCTGCTTGTTTATTAAGGTGCAATAATGACATTTATGTATTCTAATTTTTAAAACTATAAAAAGCTAAATGTATCATTCTATCAGAAATAGGAGATAACAGTAGCCCAAGAAGCCATATACAGTATATGCTCCTAATGGTAAAGGTAGCTTGAGAAGAAAATAACTCTGTAGCCTCAAATGTAAACAGATGTAATTGTCACATATATTGAACTGTACATAAACGTTTCACCATAAAGGTAACCTGAGATGCACAAGTTGTACTGTTTCCCAACCTCAACAACTTGGGGATGTGAATACTTCAATTCCTAAAATTCTTAGCAGTGGTTATGCTGACTGAAGATTTCTAGGAGTTAAAGTCCACAGACCTTAAAAGCTGTTGAGATTGAAAAAACTTGTATTAAGAATTATCAGTGAATCTTTCTTTCTTCAAATAATAGGCCACATTGTGGAAACAGTTCTTCAGATTTCCACCACAACTACCAAAGCAAATAATTATTTGTTAATTAATCATAATCTAATGTTTACAGAATTTGTAGGTTAACATTTATGTAAATATATTACTGATTTCTTATGTAGCAAGAATTCTTATGGGTTCTTTTACTAGAAAAGGATTTAAATTAGGCTTGTTATTTAAAATGTACACATTTCAGTAGCTTTTCAAAATAATCTCTCCGGTGCTTTCTGCTTCAAAGATTGTCATATATCTGAAGGCCATGTGGGAAAAACAAAGTCATTGGAACTCTATTTAATATGTAAGGTTAAGGTGAAATATTCCTGGCCATGTGTAATCTTGGTTTTATTAATATTACAATAATTTCATTTTAACTTGAATTGATCAACATTTTTGTAAAAAAATATGTAATAAGAAACAAAGTTTTAAAATATATGTATAAATATGAAAATCACTAAATTCTTAAAAGCACTTCAGTTTGAATAAAATATTCTTTAAAAAAATTTGCTATAACTTTTGAAAAAGTATCAAATGTAGAACTGACACGCAAAGACATTTTTATTATTATTTCTCTGAATTGTGCATTTGAAAATATTCCATATCAAATTAATTTTAATCTATAGGCCTTATTCAGAAATATCCTTATTTTGAATTATTTTTATGGAATATACTATGGTACCTATAATATTATAACATCCATAAGGAAATAAACATATAGAAGGCATTTGTACATCATGATGTTCTCAAAAGACTTCAAAATATAAAACATACTAAAGGTTTGCAAGATTAATTTAAAAACAAAACCTAAATTTTATTTATCTAGAAAATGTGTTCTAGTTGCTGTTATATTCAATAAAATATTAAAGCACAATTCGCAGGTAATGGATATTCCAATTCAATAATATCACAATAATTTGAATAGAATAGAGCTGGAAGGGACCTTGGAGGCCTTTTAGTCCAGCCCCCAGCTCAAGCAGGAGAACCTATACCAGGGGTAGGCAACCTTGGCTCTTTTATGACTCGTGGACTTCAATTCTCAGAATTCCTGAGCCAGCTTAGCTGGCTCAGGAATTCTGGGAGTTGAAGTCCACGAGTCATAAAAGAGCCAAGGTTGCCTACCCCTGACCTATACCATCTCAGACAAGTGAATATCACAATAATATCCTGCCCTTGGCTTAAAAGTATTCCCAAGCAATCATAGAACATTCCTCTTCAAAGACCTGAGTTCTATGTAGGAAAGTATGAATTGGTATCAATTGCTGAAATACAGTGTGAAAGTAAGAAAGTGAAATTTGCATGTTATACTGATTGCCGGATTTGCTGAATTGAAGAATCAGAGATGAATTTGGGGGGGAAATTATGTAATATTTTGAATAGATGGGAACCAGAAGAAGAAAAATCCTTCTAGGTATCATAAGTGAATGGGAATAAAGGAAAAAATGAAAGACCATTGAGAGATCCAAGAATGGGTTACTGTTTATACAAGATCTCTTTGTTTAATATGGGATTTAAGCAGAAGTCAACTCATATATATATACATGGCAAAATAATATATATATATAAAAGCATTAGTTTATGACAAAAATAGAAAATTAGCTAAGGAAATGTAAGAATGAAGAATGGGGATGTGCAGACTATTCCACGCACAGATTGATAGCTTTTGGCCAAACTATGAAGCGAGTGAAATGGCATGGACAATATTGTTTGCTGTAATTGAAATCTGGTATACTTTGGATAGAATCCAACTTCCACCCCACTCCCTAAAGTTGGGTGGCTCAACCCTCAACTTTTTGAAAGGTATACAAGTCCTAGTTGCTTTCTACACCCTGTCACAGTATGAGGAAAAGACCTTGGGAGATGGAGTGAAGAGATATTACCTAGGGAACAATCAGATAAGAGGCAGCCTAGCCCACAGTTGTACAGAGGGAGGAGCAAGAGGCTCAGAAAGCAATTTCCCTTGGACTATAAAGGTGATAGTGGAAGAACTGTACTTTCAGACTTGCAAAATATCTAGCTGTGCCTCCTGTCTGCTCTATCTGATAAAGATGACAGGCCCCTGGTTCAGGTAGATAGATGACCTCTGCTGTTAGCAATGTATCTTTTTTGTTTATCATTGGGCATCTGTGGTTATTTATTGGTGTTTTGTTCTGCTGTGTTAAACCTTATGAATAACCCAAAGTCACACTTGTATGAGATGGGCAGTTATATAAATCTTACAAATATATAAATAAGTTGTTAATTTAATCCCTTTACACAAAAGACTAAGGGGAAAAAATCTCTGTGAGGAGCTAAGAGAAAAACCGTTTTTAAAATGCATTCAAACTTTCACTTCTGCCATCCAGAGTGCCTATGGCATTATTTTTCCATCTGATTTACTCCCCATCTTGTACAATAAAAGAAACCACACACTCAGAGCAGACTATTGTCTTGATCAGGTACTCCAAGAATTTTTTTTTAAAAAAGTTCCATCGCATGAAAAAGTTTTAAAATCTCAGTTTTAGACAATCTGTTCAGTAGAGAACATGTATCACTTCTGCAAATTCACTGAGCAATGAATTGTATCTCCTGCTGCCAGTGAAAGCCACCAAGATACAGGAATATCCTAGACAAATGTTAAAATTGGATGTTTACCAGTGACAAAAAAAGACTGCACTTTCAATTGAAGAACTGCTGCCCCCAAAAGGAAATGACAAGTTCCATAAATATTCCACAAATACAGGTTGAGAAGATGACATTACAGGACTTTTCCTACATCAAGAGTAACATACTGATGAGAGGGATTAAAAAAAACATAAAAAGAAAAAATACCATATACAAGATTTTGTACATTTTTCAGACATCAAGGCATTCATTCCAACAAGGTTACTAAAGTGTAGATCATTGTTGCCACTTCAAACTAATCCATCTTCCCATTTTATCAAATCCTATAATTAGAAGGACAAAGGCAAGGCCAGGTGAAAAGTTCTCCGTCTATCATTTGAGCTCCAAAGGTGAGTTTGTGAGTAGCTTTGAGTATGCTTTTCCTTATCTTTACCATAGTTATTATGTGGTGATTGTAGTTAAACTCCCTGTTCCTCTGGATACAATTTTAAACCCACACACTGAAAGAATGAGAGACATATTCAGAGAATGATCCATTTCCATACATTATACAGTATAAACCCTTTTCATTAATGATGCATTGTCATAGTGTTTGGCTGGATGTCATAGTGCTACTTATAAAATGTTATAATTCTCTACAGTTAAAATGGTCATTATTGCCAGTATCTTGATCAGATCAAAATTGAAATAACATTATAGGAAATGCATTAAAGTAATATTTAAATATTTTAAATTTCAATTATATTCATTTTCTGTTTAAAGAAAAGACATTTTAAACATATTCTCACAGTACAATTTAAAGACCACATGAAATTGTAGAGTCTTTTTTTCAATCCATGTATGTACACATATACATAAGCATATATTACAAGAGTTATTTTTAAAAAAAAGCACTTGGAGGACAATCAGTTAACTTTCGGCTTGTCGTGCCATTCCTAAGAACTCACAAAAGAATGGCTAGTTGTGTACATTTAGATAATGAAGATTTTAGAGAACTATATTTTCCATCTTGGTTTGTTACAAATATGAAACTCAGTACAGTACTGACTACATAGATATTCAGCAGGCAAGCTTTTCTCCCTAGCTTTACATAAATGTAAGAAAGTTGGATGAATTGCATGCTAAAAGTACTGGATTATTTCCTGGACATTAATTTCAATCTGGAGTTATTTTTCAGCAGTTAAAGAAATCACTGGGATGAGAAAGTAAAGAGGTTGTAGAAATAGCATATGACTGTGGCAAAGTTGTTCTGAAGCACTTGGGACAGTTATTCTGAGGTTAGTAGCTATAAATCTGATCTGTGTGGAAATTAACAAAACTATAAATAAAAGATAAATGCAATATAAAATAACAGCAAAAACACAAATATGTCTCTGTTTATTTTTTATTTTTTTATACTTACTAGTTTCTCAGCAAGAATTGTTTTTGTTTGGAAAACTGAATTCTTACAAATATATATGTGACAGCGAAATTCCAAACTGTCTTGATTTTGGAATTATTTTGATATGTTAGAAATGGGCAAATAATAACGATAAAATCTTAGAAAGGTTAATGAAAAGTCAAACAATTTCAAGAGTTGAATGCATAAGTACAACCTGAGAGATAGATGAAAGATTGGTCTGACAATTGTTGCTGACAAAGAAGATGGAGCTGAAATGATGCACTGGTTGAATGAAGGAGAGTGTGCGTGTGAGAGAGCAAATAGATATACTTTATGATCAGTAACTGGACTGCAAGGCAATCAAACCGGTCAGTCCTAGAGGAGATCAACCCTGACTGCTCTTTAGAAGGCCAGATCCTGAAGTTGAAACTCAAGTACTTTGGCCACCTAATGAGAAGGAAGGACTCCCTGGAGAAGAGCCTGATGCTGGGAAAGATTGAGGGCAATAGAAGAAGGGGACGACAGAGAATGAGGTGGCTGGATGGAGTCACTGAAGCAGTACGCGTGAGCTTAAATGGATTCCAGAAGATGGTAGAGGACAGGAAGGCCTAGAGGAATGTTATCCATGGGGTCGCAATGGGTCGGACATGACTTCGCAACTAACAACAAATAATCAGTAAAAGTTTGCTGTTATTTTAAATTCACTGGGTTTCCGTGTATTTTAAAGAACCATTTGTACCTCAGTGTTCAGTTGAAAGTGATTTGAATGTGGCAATTTTCCAGGGCTGTGTGTGTGTAAATGAGTGACCCTAAACTAAACCTGAGAGCACTTATGTAACACTACCCTCATATCACGAACCTCTCCTTTTGCAGAACTATGTTGACAAAATGGTATGGTGACATTAATAGAGGGTTCTTGTTGCACAGTACTCAAAGCTTTCTCAGAAGCAAAGGAAATACAATTCTATGTTTCCAGATAAATCTGGTATCCACAATTCCACACTTGAAATCTCATTTCATGAATGAGATTTTGCAACTGCTATTACGTATGCCCTTAAACATGTGTGTGGTGGAAAATCAATATTAAGCAGGAAAATAGAATGGCAGGGAGACTGGACAACCACTTGCCTGAAATGGTATAGGGTTTCCTGCCTGAGCAGGGGGTTGGACTAGAAGATCTCAAAAGTCCCTTCCAACTTTACTACTACTACTACTACTGTCCCTAGTGGCTCTATTCTATGCCCAGTCGCAGACAAAGAACGATGATAAATCTCACTTTGGAAATAAGACTGGATTAATTTTATCCTTCTAGCTGGCCACAATATGCATCAAACAGGAATCCTTTTTTTCACTGTTATAAAGATACAGAAACT